TGTGTGTGTGTAATGCTCATGAATTAGTGGACACTTTAGAACCAATACTGGACTCCAGATTGAACAAGCCCCATTCTTCTCTATTCCTCCTCTCTCCCTCTCCATTTATCCCTCGCCATATTATCATATTTACATACATACACACACACACGAACGCACCTAAAGGGACAAGATTATGCACATGCACAGTCATATGCTTAACTAGGCATATGCGTACACTCACAAGCAAACTATATCACCATATATTCACATGAACACAATGGGAGAAGTAAACCAGCACACATACACATACACACACAATATATATATGCCTAAATAACAACAGGCTAATCGCTGTCACGATCTGTTCACTTTGAATTGGCACCGTTCTAAGGAGGCGAAGTGAAACTTTAAAGCCCTTGCTGTAGATAACTTGCATAATGCATGTTTCTAACTAATAAAACTTTTAATAACATTTTCGCATGCAGGCATCGCGAGGACCTGACTTTTCACGAGATAGTACGAAGATCTAATCAAACAAGTAGGCTAAGCTGTGACATCTGCTGAAATTTACTAATTATGACGATTCTATCTATCTTTCAAGACAGTGGTTTCGTCAATTGTAATGAAATCAACACAGCCTCACAGTAATGATACATCTTAACTCCTACCCAAAGCCTTGACAGTCATCTGACCTCAATCACAAAAAGATGTGAAAAATGCACTAAATTATACAAACAACGATTAAGTGATTCTAGTTGCAGTCCCAATCCGAAGTGACGTATTGAAGCAAGCAAGATTGAGTTTTCCGCATTTTTATGACAATATCGCACTGATAAAGTACAAAATGCAGCAAAATTGGTTGGAAAATAAATCTTTTGTCTTTATGGCAGCTGTATAAAAAATGTCTATAAAACCCAAAAAAAGGTAGTGGACCCCTTGGCAAAAACAAAACATATTTGTTCCTTTCAAAGGGTCTCAAAATGAAATGTTGATGGGAACACTTCATCCCTCAACAGAAGTGCATTTTATAGGATCCAAGAATCTTAAAGTAAAAATTAAAATTTTTAAAACTTCTTTGGTACCACTTTATACTTCTGTTAACGATAAGCACATGTGAGGTGCGTAAAGCTGCCTAAAAGGTTCTAGCAATGGTTTGAATAATCTTTGGAAATTAGTTTCATCAAAACACGTAGATTAACACTAATTCAGTTGCTCTTACTGACTATTATACATTTATTATTTATTCATTTTGTTGAGACCAAATGGCATTGTTGTGACGAGCAGCACGAGTCGAGTTTAATCAAGTTTATGGGCTTGTCCTCCCATTACGGCATGGTTGTTGCATACGAGCCCATCAAGCGTTCCGTATACGGTTTTGGCATTTTTTGACGAAAAAGTTTTGCCATTCATTCGTGAATTGCTTCGCAACTAAGTCTCAGTCATTTATAGAAGATAATTAAAGGGATCTATTTTCCGCATGACCCTACACATCATCTTTTACGAATATGAAGTCCTGAAGATGCAAGTCATTTCCAAGAAATCCAACGAAATAGTCGGTCAAATGGACCCTAAGTTTTACGTATGGATGCAATGCAGTTAGCCGGAACAGTTAATGCAAGGGGTAGCTTGACTGAAGAAGGGTAACCGGTATTGGAGCCGTCACGGTTCATTGAAAGAGTCGAAATAATTGAGCCCTCCAGAACACTCGGTATCATGTCTCGGTATCGCTTTGCAAGTAGACCACTTGAAACAAACTCGTTCGGTTCCATAGTTAAAAATAACTGGGAAAATATTTGTAATTTCACCAGGCAGGCATCATCAAGACACGAAATCATTCTTCTAACGACTGTAAGACATCGAATATTTTCCGTTTATAAGTAGGATTTCGATATGGAATAGTTTGTTCAATTTACTTGTACACTTATTAACGTATATATTTACATATATCCACATGAAATTATGTGTTTGCGGCCGTATTTATGCATGCATATAAGCATCCAATAGGTATGTATGCATAGTTCGGTTAATTTACGTACGAATTTATATATTTATTTGTGTATGCATGTATGAATAAATAGTTTGGTCAATTCATTTTCACCATTATGAATATGAGGTATCATGTATGTATGTATGTATGTATGTATGTATATATGTATGTATGTATGTATGCATGTATGTATGTATGTAT